CCTTCCTTCTGAGCTCAGACTGGCCCTGAAACCGCACTCCTGGCAACCCTGCAGGGCAGCCAACATGATACTGGATCCTCCTCAGATGTCATTTATCATCATTGCTAAAACGTATTACTTGTTCTTTTTCAGTAAATGAATACCATGGAAATTATAATAAAATCAAATTGCTGACTCATTAAGCTTAATTACCAGTGTGAGAGTGAACCATTATCCATGTGAGACTTGGGGACATTATGCTCATTCATGTGCTGTCCCTGAGACCAGCCCGAGGTGGTCCACTCACATTTTCCTGTATCCCCTGGCCCTGGCCCTGCTGTGGCTCAAAGGCAGGCATGGGCAGGCCCACTTTATTGGTGCGAGCAGCTCAGGGTGAGCAGGCCTCTCTCCCATCTGGAACCACAGAGATGCCCCAGTGTTAGGGGCCAGGATTTCCATCTCTACTCTTGGGCTTGTCTGTAGTGATCGGAAGTTGGGACAGGCAGACAGGAGGGGCAGACGCCAGAAAAACACCTAACCGACACGGGAGCACCCTTGTCACTTGTCAGACCAGTGCTCTCTCCTGAGCTGCCCTTCATCCTTCGAGGAAGGGAAAATCTGAAGAGAAATAGCAACCAACTGTTTCAGGGTGTGTGGGGCCTGTGTAAGTGTGCTTAAGGAAGAAGACCATCATTTTTTCTGCCCCCAAAGCCTAAGATCCAAGGGGCTAGAAAGGAATCACCTCAACCTTAATCACCTGTTTCAAGCCAAAGTGTGTACCCCCTGAGTTTTTGGGGGCGCCTGCTTCCTCTTCTCACTCCTTCACCAGGGGAGGCAGTCACTTCCCATCCAGTTTGGTCATTGACTCCCGACTACAATGACACAAACAGCTGCTCAAGGCCCCCGCTCCATGGAGCAGCAGACAGAGCACAAGACCAGGTGATCGGTGCCTGAACTTGCAAAGAAAACAAGGTCGGACGAGATAATGTCAGGGTGCGTCTGGGACATTGTTTGAGGACGTTGGATTGAGGGCAAATATTTCTAAGTGCTAGCATGAAAGGTAGCTGTCAGGTCACAACCAGAGAACAAAGCTCTCTGCAGAAATGGGAGGCGCACCGTGGAGAGGGAACGTTCCCTCACGTACACTGAGAATAAAGAATATCGCAGAGTCAACAGGCACGGGGCAGATAATGGCCTGCACCAGGCCTGGCACTGAGTGAGCCTTATTGATATGGGCCATTTCGTAAAAAAGAAAAAAAATTAAAAAGGCAAACAGAAACTTGTATCGAGCAGACAAGAACAAAGTTACCTCAAGGTCATCTAAAGCTCTACCTGTAGGGTTCGTTTACCTCCAACATCTAAGAGCCACCTACTAATTAAATAGTCCAGAGCTTTTTGAGTGTGTCAGACAAACACCCTTACATTCCTCTCTCGCACAAGCAGGCAGGGGAGGGTGGGATGGGCAGCTTCTGCAAAAACCAATTCCATTTCACAGCCCAAACACCTGTCACATTGTTTGAAAAATGCTCTTCTTGATCACATAAGAGACTACCCAGTGGGTCATGAAAGCATGTTACATGTGAATCGGAGGCTGTGATTCTAAGCCCTCTGTTACTCTTGCCTCACCTTGCTCCCTGGTCCCCAGTCAGTCAGTCTTGAAGGTGACCCTGACCTTGAGCCCTACATACTCTGTCTCTGCTGCCTTGGGACAATAAGGGACGCACCCCATGTGCTGAACTGTGGCTTCCACCATTTTGGATTATTATAAACTCAGATTGTTACTTCATCCATCTGGTCAACCTGACCTCCCATGTAGACCTAAAGCCCACTCTAAAGAGTGAGAGGTTTTGTGTCCTTGAGCCTCATAGACCCCATATATTCCAAGAGACCTCACCCCTTTCTCATTTGACAGGAACGATGTCCTCAGTTCTAGGAGGGATGTGTGCCATACCCACCACCACCATGCACATTAACACAGCAGAGCTTCTTTGACATCCTTAGAAAGAACTTTAAATGCTGATGAGCCCAGGGGAGTCTTCAGGGCTCCTGGGGAGGTCACAGGAGCCTTCTGAGAATTCAGAAGAAGGTACTTTAGGGAGTGAATTAGGCATGGCCTGCAATATCTGAAGACTGTGAAGCATCATGAGAGAAAGAAAAGACAGGCTTAAATTCTTTCCTCACCCAACATTAAAATCTGAAGTACAGACTAGTTTGGGAACTTATCCAAAGTTACTGAAAGGTTAGGAGAGGAGGCGAGGCAAGACACAGTACCCTACCCCACCTAACACTCACTCCCTCACCCACTGCTGTTAGGGGACCCAGTTGCTTGGCCACTCAGGGTCCTCTTCCTTCCTTGGACTCTCTGCCCTTCCTAGAGCTGATCTCAATCTAAGCACTTTTGGAGGTTGTGAAATACCAGAAGGAATCTGGATTTGCATTCCTCTTTTCCACCCAGGCATATTCCCTGCCAAAAATATCACCGAATATTGGCTGTGTGGGGCTGGTAAAAAGGCCAGAGCCAATGAGAAAGTGGGTTTTTATGGGACTTTGAGGCCCCATGAGACCACCTTGACAGTCCCCAAAATTGGGGCCTGGCATCCGTCCCAGCCTGAGCAGGATACCCCTGGCTCTGGGCTATCCCCAGTGACACATTCAGGGGGTGTCAGCACCCATTCACCTAATGTACCCTCTTTTCCTGACCACCTGAGGCAATTCAGCCACATACAGGCTCCAGAACTATCAAGACCAGCCAAGACACAATAGGGACATTTAAGCAGCAAGGTACCATTTCCAGGCAGAACTAGACATGTGCACCCCATAATCTGAGAAGCTGGGGATCTTCCTAAGTAGCTGGCTGACCGGAGTGTACTAGCAGAAGGTCTGTGGCCTGAGTGTGCACAGGGTGTCTGGGGCAGCATGACCACCAGGTATGCTTTGTGAACTGACCTCAGCTGCACAGGCCTGGAGTGAAACCCCAGAGAGCAGGCCCCTGTTCTGGGACATTCCATTAATCTCCCCTGTTCTGTAGCAATGGCAGTGTTAGCACCTATGATTCGATGGGAAGCATGGGATGTTTTAAGACATGAGCTCATGAAAGACACATTTCCGGGAAGAGAGCGGGCACAGCCTATGGGGGTTGACAGGCGTCCACGAGGACCTCTGATGTTTTCCGAGTCGCGTCATGCAAGCTGCAGGATAAAATAAGCCTGGGAAATGTGACATTCGAACGCTCTCTCCGACCGAGCCTCCTGCCTCGGGCAGTGGCTGCTCAACCCGGCTTTATAAATAGATTGAACACAAGATAAATGGCCGTGATCAATCATGCTCAGGCTCAGAACGCTCACCTCCCATCCAAAGTCTGTCTCCTTCAACGCAGCCCGGGGCGCCACCATGTAAGGGCCAAACCTCTCCCCGACTTCCATCTTCCTCTTGGCCCAGATCCCCAGGCCGGCCCCTGGGATGGAAGACTCTCGGAGCTCGAAGTCTGGTGGGATCGGAATGTCTTCAGGAATGTAGACAGGGGCTTCATACGGCGAGCCCTCCTTGGGAGTGAAGTCCTCGCTGGTGGGGAAGGGGGATGGTGGCCCCATGGGGATGGGGGACATGATGCTGTCCTCGGTCTCGTCCTCGGCACTCTGGCCAGCCAGCAGGTCCGGGTCAGGCTCATACATATTATTTACAATGTCACCGTCACCTAAAGGAGACAATGCAACATCAACCTCTGCAGCACACCCGCCTCTCCCCAAATAGTGCATGAGGCTCAGAGACCACCTGGGGCAAGGGCCCTGAAAAAAACCAAGGCCACTAAGTGGCCCAGAAGGCCCCTGGCCACCAGCCCCTGCCCTGGGAGTGGCACACCTGCTCCATCCTGAATTAAGTCGCCATCACTTAGACATTGCTTAGACAATGTTTCTAAGAGGATAGCACACTCAGGTCTCTCTGTACCCACCTGAGGACCCACTGACGAGCTCTGCTTTAGGGGACCATGGGAAGGAGCTACCCACACATTAAAAGGTTGGGACATACAGGGTGACCGAGCTGGGTCTGATGGTGAAATTTTTCTTCTGAGCCATTCCAGTCCTCAGCTGTGGCCTTGGTAATCAGGGAACATGTATCTTAGGTCTTGAAAGGTCTCGGAATTTGGGTTAATGAAACATTTGCTCAGAACTGCTGCCCTAATACCTGGGCCCCTGTGTCCTGGGGAAGGTTCCTTAAAGCTCTCAATGACCTCATGGTGCATTAGAAAACAGGCTTGCTCAGGTCATGACCAAAGGCTCCCTGGGCTCGAGGTCACTGGTCTGAGCAAAAGGAAAATGATCCCCAGCTTGTCTATCTGGGACAAGCCTTTCTGGGGTCCCTCCTAAGAGAAGGTTGGTGCCAAGATAGTTCCACCTAGAATATGCCAGAAGGTAGACTGAGGCTCAGAGCAATGGTAAAATTTTGACTGAGGTAGGACCAAGCTGGAGAGTAGGTCAACAGTAAAGGAAGCAAGGACACTCCTAGCGAGTCTAGCCCAGAGTGTTGAAAGTGGACGCAAATGAAGTGATATTCATAGCAGCACTATTCACAATTGCCAAAGGGTAGAAACCATCCGGATGCCCATCAGTGGTGATGGATAAACAAACTACAGCCCATCGATGCCACGAAGCATTCTCCAGCCATGAGGAAGAATGAAGCACTGATTCATGCCTGTAGTATGGACGAATCTTTTTTTGGGGGGAGAGTTTTTTTTCGCTATAGTGCGTGTGCGCTCGCCAGACAGACAGAGAGAGACAGAGAGACAGAAAGCGAGAAATCACCCCCCCAGGGGAGATGGTCACACCACAATCCCTTTTCCTCTGTTCTCCTCTCGGGATCTTGGGTACACACGCACACGCGCCTGGTGTGAGTTTTAAGCCACCGGGTCCGGGACATGAACTGCAGTCGACTACGTGGGAGTCCAGCGACATAGCCATTACGCTAACTGCTGGTTCCCAAGTATGGACGAATCTTGAAAACATTATGCTAAGTGAAAGACGCCAGTCCCAAAAGGCCACATGCTATATGAACACTGGGGTTGCCAGGGGCTCGGAGGGGAAGAGGGAATGACTGTTGATGGGTACGGGGTCTACTTTGGGGCATGGAAATGCTTTGGAGCCAGACAGAAGTGGTGGTTGTATAATCCTGTGAATGTGCTAGATGCCCCTGAATTGCTTATATTTAATTAAGGGGAAAGAGGAGTTTCACCTTAATTAATAAAAAATGGGGGTGGGTAGGAAAGAGCAGGAGGAGCAGGCAGCAACAGCAGGGGAGCAGGGAATAGTGGCTGAGCGGCCCTCTGACCCTGATGGAGATCTCTCTGCCAAGTCCCTCCTTTTGTTGCTGCTTCGAAAACCTGTGAAAGTGACCCAAAAGCCTTCCGGCCCTTGCCTGTGGCCTCTCCCTATACCCTGATGTCAGCTGGTGAAACAGAAGCCTCCAGGGAGACGAGAACTTTTAAGTATAAAGAAAAAAAATGATTTCCAGATTCCTTGTGCCGGTGGCACACAGATCAGCTAGAGAAGTAACATAATGTTTTCTTTCAAAAGAAACCAAAGTCTTAAGGGGAAAAAAAAATCATGGGGATAACACTTATTTAATTTAGCAGCATTCACAGAAGTAATTATTATGTTTTAAGTGGCCAACGGTTCCTTTTTAATTGACTCGTAGGATCTTTTCAGAAATGCAACAACAGAACGGCAGCTGTTGTTCCCTCCACCCTAAAGATTTGAAGTTGTTTAGGTTGAAAGAACACCCCCATAAACCTTCCCATTGACTGTGTGTGGCATAAAGGTGAATTAGGAGGGGGGGTAATTAATGTGCCACCTTTTTATTTGGAACTGGTAACTGCGCACAGCGCGCAAACAAGATCGGGCTGGAAGCCGCGGTTCCCCACCATGCGTCCCTTAACTACTTCAGGGTGTGGACGCCTCTGCCTTCCAGGACAATTAGGACGTAGAGCCAGCTATTTTTGTGAGTTCTGCTAGAGTCTAAAGTGGCGAAGTGTCCCCATCAAGTGCATTTTTATCACAGAGCTCTTTTTAAATGTTTTTTTTTTTCTTCTGTTTGAATTTTACTTCCCCAAACCCCTCACCTTCTGGAGGAAAATCAACACTTTAAGGGCATGTTTAATTTACTGGCCAAGCAAACAGCTTAGGAAAGAAAGGTAGTGTTTCCTGCTG